TCAACATACCTGAACCAATGACTTGGTGGTGTCCCTGAAAAGGACGTCAAGGCTCTCTTTTCTACCTCCTCCATGTACAGGTTGGCAACAATAGGAGAAACTGGAGACCCCATAGCACACCCATGTTTCTGCCTATAATATTGCTCCCCATATGTGAAGTAGGTTGACTGCAGGCACAGTTTCAAGAGTTGACACAGTTGTTCTGTGGAAAGCGTGGTCCTGCTGCTCAGAGTGGTGTCTGATTTTAATTTTAAACTGACCACCTCTACTGCATCATCAACAGGAATGCACGTAAAGAGTGATGTGACATCAAAAGAGACCATTGTTTCATCAGTCTCCATGATGACATCCCTCACCTTATCCACAAAGTCCATGGTGTTCTGTATGTGGTGTTCTGAGCTGCCAACTAAAGGGATGAGTACAGACGCCAGATATTTGGAAACATTGTAAGTGACAGAGTTAATCATGCTAACAATAGGTCTTAAAGGTACACCTTGTTTGTGGATTTTAGGTAAACCATACAGACTAGGTGTGGCCTCCCCTGGGTACAGTCTGTGGTACAGAATACGGTCAATAGCCTTGTCCTGCTCCAAATTTTTCAGGCAATCTATTAACTTCTTCTTGTAACCACTTCCTGGATCTCTTTTCAGAGGTTCATAAGTGGTTAAGTCTCTAAGGAGTGTCATAACTTTCTCATGATTGTCTTTCTGGTTCAAAATCACTGTGCACCTTCCTTTGTCTGCTGGGAGAATGATGATGTTTTTGTCCTTGCTAAGAGTGGTGAGTGCATCCCTCTCCTCTCTACTGATGTTGGAAGGTGGTGGTTTGGCATTGCTGAGGCAGGATGAAACTTTGATTCTGAGCTGTTCTGCTTCACCCTCTTTCATTTTGTTGTTGCGGATGGCTGATTCTGTTGCTGTGATCATCTCCACCAGAGGAATTGTCTTTGGTGCAACCGCAAAGTTCAGTCCCCTGGCAAGAATCTCTGTCTCAGGCTGGGTGAGCTGTCTGTCAGATAAATTCTTCACCCACTTTTCTGTCTCCCTGGCATGTAATTGACTACTGGAGTGTTGTCCTACACTGAATGTGTTGTTATTGGAATAGTGATGGTGTTGATGAGTTATTAGTAAGTTAAACTTATTTTGTTGTCGAGTCTTGGACTTGACATGCTGTGCTAAGCGTGCCTGATCTGTACAGTCCAACACTTGCTGAAGTGTGGTCTGATCTAGACACGTTGTTAGTTTCTGTTTAATGTGCTCTTCTTTGGCCTTCAAGGCCTCAATAGTAAAATTGGTCTGTCTCACCCGTTCATTCAGCAGCTGGGTCTGTGCCTTCTGAAGGATCTTGCTTGCCCGGTGCCCGCTGACCGATGATTTTAGTTCCAGGCTCTTGGGAATGATGCCGCTTTGTCGACATCTGAGGTTGAATCGCAAGTGGTTCCTGTAGTCTGCCCTCTTCCTTGCTGTTTTCTCAAACTCTCTAACTAGTTTGAGGCAATCCTGGCCAAAGTGGTTCAAAATATCCTGATGTATGCTCAATAATCCAGGTAGAAAAATCTAAAAAAGTTAAATCTGGTCCTCTGGACATTCAAAAAAAAAACAAAACAAAAAAAAAAAGCAAATCAACAAAAAAATGTAGAAACGTTTCGTCTCTCATCCGAGAGACTTCCTCAGTCTGAGGAGCTGTATTCAGCTCAGTCTCTTAAATATATCAGAGAAGAATTTTGATTTAGCAGCTTTTACTGTTTTCTGATAACGGCGCCAACTCTCTTTAAGTATCTGGAAAGAGACCTGCAGCCTGTCTTTCCTCCACTTTCGTTCCGCCCTCCTACATTGCTACCTAGTGGCCTTGGTGACGTCACTCAGCCAAGGTTCTGCTCTGAGTTTTGATTTTTCGGTTTTAACAGGTGCAACATGATCCAGAGTCTTTAAGCAGACAGAGTTGAACTGGGATGTCAGCTCCTCAGTGGTGGTGAGAAACACTGGGGGCTGAATGATCATTTCAGTGTTATAAACATCTGTGAAATGTGCGGCAGTGAAGTGGTTAATGGTCCGAGTGCGACGTGCAGGAATGCACGACTTAGGAGTTAGATGGGGGAGGGTGAACTCAAACCGGACTGGCATGTGGTCTGAAAAAACATCATCACTAATAACAAGATTATTAACAGTCACATCATGAGTTAAAACAAGGTCCAGTGTATGTCCACACTCTTGGGTGGGACCGTTTACATGCTGAGTTAAATTAAATGAGTCCAATAAATCTAAAAAGTCCTTAACCAAGGGCTTCTCAGGACAGCACACGTGCAAATTAAAGTCACCAATAATGAAAACATGCTCATATTTTGATGTGATTTCAGCCAAGAAGTCAGAAAACTCATTTATGAAATCCTTAGACCGAGGTGGGCGGTAGACGAGTGCAAATAACGTTGAAGGTGAATGTCCGAGTTCAAAGACACTCAGCTCAAAGCTGGCGTGGGAAACTGGGATGGGCAGTTGTTTACATACATCTAAGATATGAACTAAGAAAAACATTAACTAAAAATACACTAAGCACTTGTAGTACAAAACAAAACGCCTAACAGCAGCAGCACCGTTGATGATGTTTGTTGTGAATATCGTGACGTATACTCACAAACCAACGAGGTAATTACTCAGATTTTTTTCGTTTACTGACCTTTCAGAAATTACAGCAGCTGCAGTGTGCACAACAAAGGTAAAATAACTAAAATGAATAAACGGGGGAGTGGTGACGCAGAGGTTAGAGAAGGTGGGCCTGTGATCGGAAGATCGCCGGTTCAAGCCCCGGTACCGACAACATCAAAAATGTGGGTGGGGTAGGTGAAGCACCCACACCTGCCCCCACCCTCATTCGCCCCACCCTGGGCCCATGAGCAAGGCCCTTAACCCCATCTGCTCCCTAAACAGGTCTCTCTTGAAAATGAGTTTTCGTGGCTCAATGAGACTACCTGGATAAATAAAGGGTAAATTAAAATAATAAAATTAAAAAAAGGTAAAATAATGTGGAACAGGTGAACAAGTCAAAACCACTCCCATTTGTTTACTTTCTGTCAGCTCTACACTACAGCGCACCTGTTGCTGTGGCAACCGACCGACAGCTCAGCACGCCGACAGACGCCGGCAGAGCAGAGACAACGTTAAAAACAGAACATTCAGTCCGTTACCATTTTGTTTTCAGGCTTGATGTTATTTGTGTAATTATTAATAAGTGGTCGCCTGAACACACGGTGGTTGATTAGCTAATTTGAACACCTGCTCTGCTACTGATCTGTCAGCGAGTCGGCTGTGTTTGTTTGTTGTTAACCAAACCAAAACAGAGTTGCACAACACCTTGTTGAAACAATGATTTCTGTGATTATTATTTTGCTGGGACATTAATATGAACATGTTTTGTTGAGATCTTTTTTTTTGTCTGAGTGAAAAACGTAATTGCTTAACGCCATGTTGCCTGCGCACCGGAAGTGATCAATGTGGCGGAAGTGCTAAAAAAGAAGTCCGTGGCATATAGCCCATTGAACCCAAAGATCTGTATCTGAATTTGTAAATGAAAGCTCAGAGGGAGTCTTACCTCTCTGATCTTGTCCCGTTTCTCTTTAACATCGAGCTCTGGTGGCTCCCCATCACTGACACCCACCACCTTGGGCATGGGAACAGGTGGTAAGGGTTTAGGCCCCATATCTTGCTTCTTTAAGTCCTCCATCACTTTAGTCTTCTCCGTCTGAATCTCAGCCTGCAGCTCCTCACGAGACTTCCGCAGTTTCTCCTTTGCCTCCTGCAGGGCTCGCTCGTGGTCTGCTCGAATCTTGTCACGTAGGCTTTCCTCTTCCTCCCTACAAGACAATGTAGATAACCCAGCTAATTAGCATCAGCTTATAAGACTGACCCATGAAAAGCAGAAATACTGAATGCTCGAAAAAGCAGCTACTTTAAAACCCTAAATTTATCCAGTGTTAATTCTGTATTTATGTTTATATTTTCCATGTTTGTGTACATCTGCCTGGAAAAAAAATTAATAAAAATTCGCAACTAGGGTTGCAAAGGTGCAGAACATTTTCGATAAACATCTGGAAACTTTACAAATACTTAATTTCCATGGAAAACTAAGCTGGGAAATTCAGGAAATATTCTAAATGGGAAACTTTCCTTGGGAATTTATGGGAATAAATTAGACTTTGGGAGTAATTTAAATAAACCATTACATCCATTCTAACGTAAGTGTTTTTTTTGTCACAGGCTGATAATTAAATAGTCAAATGAGTTTGTCCAAATTTAATTAATTTTTTCATTAAAAGACTATTTTAAAACATGCTTATGACATCATCTGGTCCCAACCACACAACCTTTAGAGAACAACAGATTTAGAATAATACTTTTTTGTTGAATCTTTTCCTAAAGTTTTCCTAAAGCATAAATGACAAATAGACATTTTGTAAATGGCTGTGTGAAGTTAGGTCTACTCAAGTTCTTAGAGGGATGCTGACACCATTCAAAAAATGTTCAATACAAAAACATCTAGACTTTATTTGTAACAGAAGAAATTTCACTCCTCATCCGAGGAGCTTTCTCAATTCAAGAGCAGTGAGTGAGGGATTCAGGTTATAAAGCTGAGATAAGATACACACACATATGTAGAGTGACAAAATAACACCTCACACCTTAACAGTAGGAGTTTCTTAAGGTCTTTGTTCCTCTAATTCACAGATGAGGCCCCTCTGTTCCCATCAAGTGTGAAAACCAGCTGGGAATCTGTTTTAAAGTGGCATTATATGTTTTTGAAAGTGGAAATCTGAGGCCTCCTCCTCTGTTAAGAGATGGCTTTTATCTTTAAACATAAATTGCTTCCTTCACCCCCCTCTCAAACCATCTGTGTTCTCGGTCCAAAATGTGCACATTCTGGTCCTCAAAAGAGTGTCCCTTATCTGTGAGGTGGAGGTGAACAGCTGAATCTTGTCCAGAGGAGGTGGCTCTCCTGTGTTGAGCCATGCGTCTGTGAAGAGGCTATTTAGTTTCTCCAATGTAGAGGTCTGGACAGTCCTCGCTACACTGGACCACATACACTACACCACTCTGTCTGTGTATGGGTGTTTTGTCCTTAGGGTGGACCAGCCTCTGTCTGAGAGTCCTGCTGGGTTTGAAATGTACTGGGATGTTGTGTTTGTTGAAAATCCTTCTGAATTTCTCTGATAATCCAGCAATATAAGGGATGACAATGTTTTTCCATCTGTTGTTCTCCTTTTTCTGTTTATTAGTGTGTTTTGTAGATTTCCTCGCTGACTTAACAAAAGCCCAGTTAGGATATCCACATGTTTGGAGAGCTTCTTGGATGTGTTTCTGTTCCTTTTCCTTCCCTTCTGTCTTCGTGGGGATGCGTTCGGCCCGATGCTGTAAAGTTCTGATTACAGAGAGTTTGTGTTCCAGTGGATGGTGAGAGTCAAATAAAAAGATACTGGTCTGTGTGGGTTGGTTTTCTGAAACATTAATGTTGAGGCTGTCCTCTCTTTCCATTTGAACCAAACAGTCCAAAAAAGGCAGCTTGTTGTCGTTTGCGTCCTCTCTGGTGAACTTGATGTTGTTATCGACCACGTTGATGTGTCTGGTGAACGCTTCTATTTCCTTAGCTTGGATTTTGACCCAGGTGTCATCCATGAAGGAAACAATTTATGCAAAAAGCGGAAAAAAAAAACATCTCTTAACAGGAGGAGGCCTCAGATTTCCACTTTCAAAAACCTATAATGCAACTTAAGACCTTAAGAAACCCCTACTGTTAAGGTGTTGAGGTGTAAATGGTAAATGGACTGTACTTATATAGCGCCTTTCTATCTAATCAAGATACTCAAATAGCTTTACACTACAATTTGTGCCTCATTTACCCATTCATACAGCACTCTACTAGATCTCTACAAAGCTAATTGAACAAATCATTCTAAAGAGACTAATCAGTGCTTTAGTTCACATTCATACACTGATGGGACACACATCAGAGGCAATGAGGGGTTCACTGTCTTGGCCATGGACACTTCAGCATGTGACTGCTGGTGGATTCGAACCCCCAACTCTTGCATTGGCGGACGACTGCTCTAACCACTCAGCCACAGCCGCTCCATTGTGAATTGTCAAATCTACATATGTATGTGTATCTTATCTCAGCCTCTGAACCTGAACCGCTCACTCTCTGCTCTTTGAATTGAGAAAGCTCCTCGGATGAGGAGCGAAATGTCTTCTGTTACAAATAAAGTCCAGTTGTTCTTATATTGAACATTTTCTGAATTTATCATGTCCTGGATGATTGAGAATCTTCACCAGCATGATGCTGAAACCAGGCTACAAACAACAAAGTCCATGCTCAATAATCCAGGTATACAATCCAACATTTTTCAGTCAGGTCATCTGGACAGTTTCTTTTTTTTTTGTGCTGAAACGTTTCACCTTTGGTCCGGAAGGCTTCATCAATCAAGGAAACACACAACAAAACTGATTCTTCCCCCAACGGCTTACTCCAAAGTGGAACAAACCAGTTCTGCTTGTCATAAGACGGTCTCTTTGGTTCTCTCAGAGAACCGTCCGGAGTGGTGGCGGGACTTCGTCAACAACAGTTCACCTCACGAGTGGACTTCACATGAGTGGAGTCCGTCAGAGTTCCACTCAGAGGTGGAAGATGTCATAATCCCCAATACTCGGAAGAGCTCTGGATCATATCGGGATTTTCCTGTTTCCCAAACGACTGGAGCTGCAAACTCTCCACCCGACTCCAACTGGGTTGAACTAGGAAGTACCAACATTTAAAGAGCTCTATTTCCGGTTCATTTGGGAGTTTCTGATTGGTCGATGGACCAAAACAGAGGTGTGTTTTGTGATGTAAGGTGTTATTAAAAAGTCAAGGAAAAAGATTTAGATTGTTTAAGAACAGACAAAAGATATTATGAAGAACTCAGACTTCGTGGAGTCACTTCTCTAGTATCTTGCTGTAAAAGTTAAACATGACATTTCTTTTTCAGTAAACTTGCAGTTGACCGAAACTTGAACTTTGACCAACTTACACAACTTGCTCATTTCAAACAGACGATCAAGAAATTGAATCATTACTCTGTAACATATTCCAACTTGATTTCCACTTTGAATGAGGATTAAAAATCGTTATTACTGTTTCACAGTTGATTTAAAAATGAGTAGTTCACTTCAACATTTAAACTTTGTTTGAACTAACACAATTTGATTATCAAACATTTGTAAAATAGTAATGATAATCGAAAGTAGTCTCTTTCACTTGATTAATTCAAGAAAGAAAGTCTCAGGATGGGTCAACCTGTATTTCTGGATTCACATCAATGAAATGACAGTTTCTGTCCCATAAGGTCCTTAAGGTCAAGATTTGACCTCAGGCCTAGTTCACTACAGGCCTGAGGGGGGAGGCTTGCCCCCCCTCCCGCACGTTATCTCGAGGTTCTCACGCTCTCGCGCTATCTAGAGGTTTTTAAGCTTCTCACGCTTTCACGCCATCTCGAGGGTTTTCACAGACTTTAAGTCCAGGTGGGCATGTTTTGTTTACTGGGAGATGTTCCCACGTAATGCAGAGAGTATTAAAGTGTAACACTCAGAATAAGAGTTGAAGTCTGCTGTGGATCCTGATCCGATACCCAGCCAATTGATGTTATCTTTCTACTCGGACTGAAACGGCTTACCAGTCTGGTGTCACGGTGAGGGGCTTTTACATCAATGTTTGATTTGTACTGAATGTACTTGTGCTTTGCTTCGCTGTATCTGTGGTGGTTTAATAAAATTACACTTATTGTTCTAGCAGAAACAGCCTGTGAGTGTTTATTCATTGCTCCGATCATCCCCCGAACCTGTACTTTGTTTAAGATAATTTCATAGAACAGTAATCCAGGTATACAATCCAACATTTTTCAGTCAGGTCATCTGGACAGTTTCTTTTCTTTTCTCTTTTCTTCAGGCTACAAACAGATGTAACAAACCAAACTGAAATGTTTACCCGATGTCTACTCCTGATCATTATAAAAAAGAAACAAGCCACATATTTTGTGGAACACCTAACCTCTGCGCAGTTAATCTGTAGGTACTGTACATCAGCTCCAAGAAATAGGACAGTGTAGTTCACATAAGTCAAACTCAAAGCCCGGGGGCCAAATGAGGCCCTCGTTGACATCTTATCTGGCCCCCAAGATGATACGTTAAACGTGAAATACATTTTTCACTTGAATTTTTTCAGTAATGTTTGATTATGATGTCAAAAGTGCAACAGAGAACATCCAATGAGATCAATCAAACACTTGTTGAGGAACCTGTGACCAAGACAAGATTTGGGGTATGTAACTTGAGTTCATGTAGATTCTGAAACTGGGCCTTAGTTTGAAAAAGGGTTTAATTTTGGTCCCTTTTGTAAGTGAGTTTGGCCTCCCTGGTGTAGATGAACATGGGAAGGCTGGCAGAGTCACAGTGACAATGTAACATCATGTGCAGTTCTGTGTGGAGGTCCGAGCTCCTGAGGTGATCCCATAAGGAGTTAGATCAGTAACAAAAAAAAAAACAATGAGGTGCTGAAACAAAGGTGCCAGGGGGCAAAACTATTCTGTACAGAGGTTCTTGACATAAGAAAAACTGGAAATATTCATTTAACTCCTGCTTTAATTTTCTAGATTTAAAAAATGAAGAGAACATAGGATTGCTGTGGTCAACACAGAAAGGAAGCAGAATGCATCCATTATATGTCAACTAAAAACTTGGATTCTGTACTATAGCCTTGATTTACAGTAACTCTCCATAATGGTGAGTAACTTTTGCGTTCCACAGCAAGTTTACTGAACACGTGTTT